CATGTTAGTTGAGAGCTTAATCCTCTTATTATTTCAACCACAACTTTTTCAGCAACTTCAATGAGACCAAGACTGAGATCCTTGGAATGCATCTTCAGCAAACACCAAAAAAGGGTTTGCCTCAGTTTTTTTGGAAACAAAATAACAACAATCAGCTCTATAATGGAGCAGAAAATATGACTCAGTTCATTAAGAAAAACAGACTAACCAAAATACGGATCAAGTTCAAACATACAGCCACCTCCTCCACCAGGAAAAGCCAATTTATTTATCTGGCATCTGTCAGACAACATCTAAACTATGGAGGAACCACTGAACAAAATAATTTGCTGAACTCAAACACCAGTTGGTTCTTGCATCAAACTAAAGTCACATTTTCATGAGTACTTTCCCAAGATTTTTGGAAGAAAATCCCAAAACTTTTATTATATCAACTTCTATTGAGATCCATGAGTGACTACATGGAGAAATGGCAGAATTCCCTTGGGGAGTTCATTAAAAATTTCTTAAACCTTTTACATGCCCTTTGAGAAGCTAGAATTATTCAGATAACTTTGGTGTGATATACCTAAATATCAATTTTTATTTCTAAATCAAATCCAAGCTTCACATCATCATTTAAAGTACACTGAATTTTTAAATTGTGATGGATGAAAGTAATGGGGGGAACATTTGGAATTTTTAGTGAAGCATATATTTCTGTAGCAGTATAGAAATGTCAATACAGCCTTTGAAATAGATAACTCAAGAACGATTAATCAACAAGAACCAAATGGCAGCCTTCTCTGCTCATTCCATTACTTGACAGTATGAATGTGCATTTACTTTCAGGTGCTAAAACAAACACGCCTGGTATTAATGTATTAATATGGTTTGAAATTTTGGGCGTTGATTTTGGATGATCTACAACTAAAAGAAAAATGGGAGTACTCAGTACCTTCAGACAGGCTCTCATGAACGTAATTTTTCATGATATACTATCTTCTAATTTATTTAAAATAAAAAAGAGTGTAGATTACAAAAATTCTGATCTAAATTAAACACTGATTTTGGTTAAAGACAATGATTCTATGACGTACAAGTTAACAGGGAAGACCCACAGTATTGAAGTTGCATATACATCTGAGAACTCTCAAATTCTGAGAATGAGTCTTCTGCTTAACTTTTTAAAAATCTGCTACACTGTGCCAGCTCAAAAAAAGGGCACCTTCCTCTACCCGGCCTTTCTTCCATTACTATTAGCCCAAAACCTGTACAAATGCTTGTAACAGCATAACTTCTTCCACTGTATGAATTATAACAAATACACAAGTATAAAACACAATGACTACATGAGGATCTATAATGGCAGCACCAGAAAACAAACAAAAGCAATAAAACCAAGCAAACGAACTCCCCCACAAGAAAACCCAAACAAAAACCCCAAAAAAGCAACAAGTCAAAAACAAAACTGTAAAAGCAGACAAGTACACTGGTAAGATATTTTTAAAAGTACATCAGTCCTTATCAGCAAATAACAGGCTTAGACTGTCATTTCTAGCTGTAGTCAATAGACAACACTGCTCTTTTTCTAACCTATGTACAGGAAATTCTTCAAAGAAGTAAAGCAATTAACAACTGACTTCAAATATGAGTATTAGCTGTATTAGCAAAGTTCAGAGACATTCAATTTAACATTTAATCCAGACTAATTCATATGGCTCCCATTACCATTAGCAAATTACTGTATAAAACTTCTGCTTACAAAAAGATAAGTCAGTTCCTTTAGACTGTGAAGGAAAACCATTCATCATAAAAGGGACTGCAATCTGAATAAAACCTATTCTATGAAAAGATAACTTTAAAATGTGCTTGCTGCAACACGTATTTCTCCATGCAAGAGAAGGTTCTCACACTGCAGAGCCATTTTCACCTCTGTGAGCAGACTGACAGTTAATCTGGATCATTTTGTCCTATTCTGGGCTTCATATCTGTTTTCATCCTTGTGCTTCAGTATTGCTGGAATGAGAACAGCTGTGAATGGGCATGTTACTATCAGCATGTTCTCTGAAGGATCTGGCCATGGCCTGGTCACAGCCTAAACAAGACTGTTTTTCTTCTGAAGAAAGGAAAAATGACAAGTTCATAAATCTTCTGTCAGTATTTAGAACCTTATTTTCAGTGACAGTTTTCATCATCTGTGAATTTCATCTTCTTTCCATAAAAATTTATTCAAAGGGAGTGTAAGCTGCAGATGAAGTTACATTTTGTAACTGCTTTTTTTTCTTTCCAAGGTACAATTTTACATTTATGCAGAGGTTAAATTGTGTTAGCACTTCTGAAATCACATCACGTGCAGTAATTAAAAGAGTCATGCATCCTCCAGGCTCTAGCTTGCTATTCTCCAAGGAAGGTGAAAGTTCAGAAAGAGAAGGCAAAAATTATTTTAAGCTGCATTAATTTCCCTCCAGGTTTAGACACCCAAGGAGAAGTCTTCTTTGTTGTGAACTACATTTTCAAGTAACCTACAGGCAGGTTTGCACCTCAAGAAAGCACAGAGCCAAAAACTGTTTATCTCATCACATATCCGAGATAAGAATTCCTATAAAGCTGTAATGGACCAGGTCTGTGCACATCAGACCCTGAAAAAAAATGGGAATTCCTATAAATAACATTTTAACAACAAAAGTTTTCTGTACCTAACAATAAAGAAGCAGGTAAATTGGAATCTACCACCTTATTTTGACCCTTGTTTAGTAATTTTCTGATAAAAGTTTCCATCCAAAACTTCCTACCTTGAAATAAAGTGAGGAATATGGACTGCAGCATCAAAAAGAAAAAGTCATACTTAAGAATAAGCTGAAACAGAATGACAAACAGAAGTTGTAGTTTTCATGGGCTGCAATTGACAGAGCTCCCAGTGTGCTTATTTAGGATGCACTCTAGTGGACACACATATAACGAAATCAAAGACACAAACAGTATAAAATGATAAAAAAATGAAAGCAACATGTCATCAGAATTAATTTCTAGCACGTTTTAAAATAGTGTCTTACATTTTGAAGGCTGTATGAAGGTTGAAATTTTCATGGTCAACATGACTGCACATTAAGTGTAAATGAATGAACATGAGTTACCAATTTTTGAAAGTGTTAATTTAAATATTAAGAATCAGTTATACATATTGTTTAAAAGACAAACTCCATCTGTTTATCCATTTCTCCATCCCTTTGAGATTGGCACAAGAGGCTGCTGTGCCTGCAGTGCTAACAGGTGCAATTAGACCTGTGGTATCCAATTGTGTCCTTGAATGATTCTATTGTAACTGTTTCTAACAAATATAATCGTAAACTGTGCCAAAATCTGTTTATTGGAACACCAACCACAAGGGTGTATTCATGTCACAGGAAAGGTTTTGACTATCATAGAAACCAATCAGAATTATTGTAGATAGCAAAGCCTGACCACTTAGACACAAAAAATAGTTCCACTTCTCATGACTCCAAAGTTACACAAACATTTCTAAGTATTTATACCTGGTAAGTGACTTTAAGGATGCTCATATAAGACGTGGTTATTAACAGCATTCAAAAAGCAGTGTAGTAATAAGATGAGCACAGGATTTTTTTTAATAGAGGGACTTTATCTTTAAAGGGAAAAATAATATATTAATATATAGAAAAATCAATAGTGCTCATGTCTTTAAAATTTTCTAAGATTATTCTTAGTCTGATCTACATGATCAAAACAAGTTATTCAGAGCAAGAAAACATTTATTATGTGATTGAGCCTTGTCTGTTGGGTGTATAGATATTTTTAACAGTTTGCCAAGGACAGCAAACCCCTTAGACTCAGTGATACTATTAAAAAATTGAAGTGAAAGTATCAGAAAAATCTCATCCCAAGACTGAAGAACACAGTGAATGCATTAACTATGCACTGACTTTGTAATGAAAGGTATTTTCATTACACACTATTGGTAATGACCATCTAACCTGTAGTAGAAGACAGAGATGCAAATGTACATTTTATTGAATGCATATTCATTTTTAAGAACAGCAGGATTTCTTAATGCTGCTGTTTTCTCTATTTATAATGAAAAGACACAGAATATTCTTGACAACCTATACCAAGATACCAGTGATTACAAACATCTGTTCTTGTAAAAATGCAATCTGTAAGGATTATAAAACTTATTTTTTATAGATAGTCAAGGATCAAACTAAATATTCTTCTAAATTTTTAGAAGTGAAGTTTTAGAAATAATGATGGTATTTAGTAGAAAACACATTTAATTTCTTGATTTACAAATTCAAGAAAAATGCAGAAAAGTCTTAAAAACTTGACTAATCAAGACTAACATGCAGACACTTGCAGCTTACTTAGTACCACACAATTCCCAGAAAACATTCTAATAATAAATATAACAATAAATATATTTATCCAACAATAAAGCCTAGATCACCTCATGACTTCTAGGAGACAAGATCTTCTAGTATATACTGAGTCAGAGTTAAATTTACCTCTTTCAAATACATTTGGGAAATCTTATTGGATTATTGCACCAAGTTTGAACTACAGAATACTCTCTCCATCTTTTAATCTGCAGAGCATTCCCTTTTTCTCTCAGAAACCATTCAAATTCTTGGAAAATATTTTTCAGTAATATTTTATTCTTTTAATATAGATTCAAATTGTCATATTGTGGCATCTATCCTCAAATCATATTGACACCTTAGTTATATTTTTATTTATTATGGTTACTTCAATATGCAATAAGTAGAAAATATATTTGCTGCTTTCACTTCAGCTGCTGTTTTCTTCTTGTGAAAGTCAGCCATGCCAGCTACAATGCTTTAAGAACAAAAAGGAAGAATCGGTATCAGAAAAAACGGACTTTATACAAACACCTTGAAAACAGACACCAGAGAAACAGTTATGTAAATCAGTTATATTTATAAAATACATAAATCAAGATACTACACTTCAGGATAGCAAGTAATGAGTAGAAAATATATTTACTACTCTCAGGTCAGTTCTAATTTTCTTCTTCTTCTTCTTCCTCCTCTTCTTCTTCCTCCTCCTCTTCTTCTGTTACTGTTGGGAGGTCTGTTTGACTCTGGAAAACAACAAAAATATTCTACCACTTACCAGCATTCACTGAGCTTTGTAAAAAGGAAAAGAGAAAAAAACAGCCTATGACAGACAAGTTGGGACATAGCAGTACAATCATGTATTCTCCCATTCAATACAATGAAGGCCATGACAAGACTTTTATTATAAAATCCAGCAAATCTGGATGATGCATTGTGATTTTGAGGGCAGAATCAACAGTACAAGCCTATATGTCTTATTTTATCAATCTGTTCTTAATTTGTAGCAAACATGTCACTGTAAAACCTGAAATAACATCCCCAAAAGCCAATGTAATCTAACACCTTTAAGCATGAAAACTTGGCACATGTAGGAAGCAGCAGGTACTTAAGACTCATTTTCACCTTTTGTTTTACTATTTTATTATTAAAGAACCCATAAAATATGCCCAAAGCCTGAATAATATTTTAAAATATGGAATTATCAAAAAATTATAAAACTTGGGGCTATATGGGATCTTGCATACACACCTGATTTACCTCAGTGGAAAAAACACCTGTGAAAAGCTAATCCTAAGAACAGTCATATCTTCATAAATCTATTGTCAGCACAAAGAAGCAAATTTTTAAGAATCAATCATTTATAATCTCTTTCTAAACACTTACCGGTACAGTCTCAGCTGGCTCCTCAGGTGTAATTTCAGCTATTGTCTTTTCATTTTCCTGTGGCAATGAAAACCAGTTTGCAGTTCAAATGTCCCATGTCATGAAATTGCATTTCAGGTGTGTTAAAATGACATTATGTATTAATGTAAAGAGAACACTTTAGATAAGTGCTATACAAATTTAGTAGTGTGGGAATATGGTCTTGGTCTTAGGCTTAACCCCATTTTTAAATATTTTTTTTTTTAATTAACAGCAATTTAAAATTTTTACATATTTGTTTTTTCTGTCACTTTCATATGCTCATCTTCCTACAAATATGGTTTGTCAGTATTTAACAGAGTTTTCTAAAAACTTAAGGTATTTCTAAAATACTCTATGCTCCACAGAGGTTTTAAAAGCTTGAGGGAGATAAGCATGCCAATTATCCATGTATGTTTTTACTGAAGCAGCATTAAAAGACCATAAACATGGATATCTGTATACACATTCTTCTGTAGTACAAATTCCCATACACCACTAAGATAGCAGAATCCAGATGCACTGCAATTCAAACCACAGCTCTTTTTCCAGGTACAGTAAATGCATTTTGTGCTAACCCCCTGCAAAATATTACTGTCTTGGTACTTAAATTAGACATGCTTATTTTATAAAACTTTCTAATAAATACCATCAAGAAATCTGGAAGCATCAGGTGAGCTGACCTTATGCTGGATTTTTGGAGTAAATTTCTGTTCTTGATCAAAATCCAAGTATAAAACCCAGACTGCAGAAGCCACGTGTTAGACATTCTCCCCATCTAAATTCCTGTTTCTTTAATTATGTGTTAGTTCAACACCCCTGGGCTTCTGCTTTGTGTTTTGTAATTGATGCCTGCATCTGGAAAAAATGGCTGATAAATGGTATTTTCAAAACACCAACTAAGCATTGGCTTAAACCTCTTGATCTACCTGCTGCAACTGCATTTCAGCTTTCTTCTTCTGTGCTTCCAACTCTGCACGTTCTTTCTCCAACTGAGCCTGAAATCAGTTTAAGAAAGGACAAATTAGAAAGAAAATCCCCCATATTTATTTTTTTCACCATATTGTTTTACAGTTGATTTTATTATTGAAATAATAAATAAAAAGTAAGCATAAAACATAAATGCTATGTTATGTTAATAACAAAGTCCTTTCAGTATCAACTGGTTTAGCATTTTCAAAGGGTTGAGACTCTTATTGATAAAGAGGCTTTACTACCAAAAGGACAATAAAACAGTTAACTGAAGTTAGTGTACACAATTCAGACACTGTCTCATTATACAAGCTCTTTATCAGTCTGTATTAGTTATCTCCTGTCCTTTGGATTAAGTTCTTTGATACTTGGTATAGCACCTAGCACACATGGATGAATCAATATAGAATCAAATCTATTGAAAACTTTGGCAAGCAATGTCATTAACATTAATGATGTCCATCAGCAACCTTTAGTATTTACAACTGGAAATATCTAACAGGACGTGTTTATTAATTGGAAACATAAGTCCTATTACATCAAACTCCAGAAACTGCATAATCTAAGTATTTACATTCAACAACCTTAGAGTATACTGTTTGCTCTTGCATTTTGTGAGCAGTTACAAACATGGTCATTCTTTTCTATTCCTTTTTGGTACATAAATGCAAAACTTTCTTCAGTATTTGACTACAAAACTGAATTAGGTTAAAAAATGCATCTAATGTGAGTATTGTTCAACATATTTCCCATAGCTTAGGTGACATTATTTATTCAATTCTCAGTGAATTATCTCTAGACACAATCTCTTTATTTTCATTTACTATTTTACATCACTCATTAAACCCTTAAGCACATTACTTTTGGTTTGCAAATTACTAAACTCCAAATTTTAAAACTGCAAGTGAAATAAAATGAATGCATCTTACACTAGAGCTGGGCTTAATGTGATCAGCATAAATTTAAAATTAAGCTTTTGATTTTAACATAATGAAACTCATCCATACAAAAAAAATCCAGTCAGGTCACATCAACATCACCATAGCAACAATGAGCTCACATGACTCATTTACAAAGAATGGCTAGAAGCACAGATATTGTATTTATTTCTCATATTACAAGCCCAAACAGTATTTTCAGTTACTTCTCACATAAGTCCTAAATTGACTCCTTTTTATCTTAATAGTCATCATTTTTAATAACATTTTACTGCATAGTATGTAACTTTTCCTACTCATGTGCTGACTAATAATTTCAGTTATTCAGAAAAGTGAGATTAAAATACTTGCTTTATGCCACCTTTAACAAAAAGTGAGATTAAAATACTTGCTTTATGCCACCTTTAACAAAATCAGTATACAGCTATTAGAAGCATACAAAGAGCTCCAATATGACACAGCACCATACGCTGCTTAGAATTATCTATTATTTAGTATTAATAACCTGTTGTTCTTCAAGTTTCCGCTGCTCTTCTTCCTGGATTTTTAACCTTTCAAGTTCTGCTAGGGCTGCCTCCCGTTCTTGTTCCAGTTCAGCTCTCTCCAGTACTCTCTATTTCAAGGTAACACAGAATCAATTAAACGTAAAAATTAGCTATATTAAATAGCATCAACTATATTGTAGCAATCTTTTTTTGCCAAAGTTGGATCCACCTTTTTTTCTTCATCTAAGTTTCTTCTGTAATTGTAAATCCAGTGTGCAAGATACTCTATTGGATCTGCTGGCCGATGCTCTACAACCTCTGCCAGTCCTTTCTTCAAGCAAGTTCCCAGGCATTGCTTCAGATACTGAGACTCCATCCAAGTCTACTGACAATAAACAGACAGACATTAGATACCAATGTCAGAATTAAGTTACGGGCTTTAAGAACTCTTGCTTCAGGTGCCAAACACTGACTACGACATTACTTTTTACTAAGCTTGCAATTTATACAAGAAAGTTATTTGGCAGTGGTTTGGTTCTTAAAAGCTCCAGTGACAGGTCAGTTACAGCAATCACTGCAGAAAAAAAATACCTAAACACCACCTTACTGCTTGGACATGTATAATTCATAAACTATTTAGAAACATGATGCCAATTCTAGGTCTGCATGATGGCAAAGAAAAAAACAAACCCTGAAAATCTCAACAGCACATAGAACACTTCTACACAGATACTCAAAGAACAGGCAAGTAGTTCTGAGGACAATTAAGGGGTAATTGTGGTTTGAACTGTCAAAGCTATCTTTAAGACATGTATGCAAGGCGAGGGCCTGAAGCACTCACTCCACAGTTACGAAAGGCACAGATCTCGGTGCACACGCTTTACCAGCCCAGTTTAAGCAAACACGAGCCCGCCTTTGCTGTTAAGGGAGCTGAATCCATGCCGGGGCAGAGAGCGCGGGCACTTATCACAGCAACAACTACAGCGCCATCCTCGGCACTAGCGGCGCCTCCAGGTGACTTTAATAACACCACCCACGCCGTCCTCTCCGGGCTCCATTTAAGCACCGGCTGGGCCCCTGCCCTTCCCCTGCGCTCCCGGCGGGGCGGGCCCGCTCCTCATCCCCACGCCGGGGGCTCGGAGCTCTGGCAGGGCCTGGCCCCTTACCGCGCCTCGCCTCACGCTCCTCCCCAGCCGGTGGTATCTATACCCCGCTTCTGGTGCCGCGGGCTGCGCTGCTGCCGCTCGCCTTCCCTCGGAGAGCAGCCCCGCTCCGGCTCCTTCCCGGCAGCAGCTCCCGGAGCCCCGGCACGGCAGCCCCAGCCCGCCCCGCTCCTGCCCCAGGCCCGGCCTCCAACGCGCGGGGTTGCTCCGCAACAGCGCCGCGAGCGCAGCGGCCCCCGCGCCGCCCGCAGGAGCTGGCAGAGGGGGCATCGGCCTGCTCGGAAAGGTCACCGATGGCACAAAGCCGGGCGGAGGGGCCGAGACCTCAGAGGGTTTTGTGGCCCTTGAGAGAGACCTCGACTGGCTGGACTGATGGGCAGAGAAGAACCTGAAATTCAGTATTGGCAAATGCAGGGTCCTGCACCTGGGGATTAATAACCCCACCACGGGGAGAAGCTGGGGGTGATCTGCTGGAGAGCAGCTCTGTGGAGAAGGACCTGGGTGGGCAACAAGATCTTGCAGCAGTGCGCTTGTGGCCAAGAAGGCCAATGGTATCCCGGGGTGTGTTAGGAAGAGCATTGCCAGCAGGTCAAGGGAGGTGATCCTGCCCCTCTGCTCAGCCCTGCTGAGGCTCTGTCTGGAGTGCTGTGTCCAGTTCTGGGCTTCCCAAGTGACAGAGAGACATGGAGATCCTGGAGCGGATCCAGCAGAGGGCTGTGAAGATGATTGGGCATCTCTCTTACAAGGAAAGGCTGAGAGAACTGAGCCTGTTCAGCCTGTAGAAGAGATGACTGATAGAGAATCTCATTGATATGTATAAATATCTAAAGAGGAGGTGCCATGCTCTACTCTGTGGTGCCAGCCACTAGGACACCACAGAATGGGCAGAAACTGATGCATAGGATGCTTAAACAGGAGGCAGAACTTTACTTTGTGCAGGTGGAACAGCTTGCCCAGAGAGGTTGTGGAATCTTTATCTAGAGATACTGAAAGCTGCCTGGATGCAGTTCTGTGCAGTGTGCTCTAGGATGCCCTGCTTAGGCAGGGAGGCTGGACCAGATGAGCCGCTGTGATCCTCTCCAACTGTTTCAATGCTGTCTCTGTGTGAGCAGCTTCCCTTCACAACTGATGTGATCTTTTCTGCTCCCTGCAAAACTCATCGGCTGACGTTCACCTCAAATTGGACCAGCTGTATGTTTTACTGTCAGCTTCTAATCCGGTATTAAAAAACCTTGCAAACAGCTGCAGCTGGAAGAATTAACTCCGTATGTTTGTTAATTCCGACGCCTAAGCGCTCTAACATTATCTTGGCCGCTCCCCGGCAGAAATGGAAGGCGGGCTGCGTCCCTGAGAGCAGCTGGCGGAGGTGCCGTGAGGGTGAGGAGCCGGCGGCAGCGGCTCGGGGATCGGGCGGGCGCGGGCCCGCCTGTTGCGGCCGGGGGGTGTCGCTGCCGCTCCGCGCAGGCCGCAGGCGCAGCCGCCCGCCCCAGCCTGAGGGGCCGTGCGCCGGCGCGGCCATGGCGGCGGAGCGCGGCGCGGCGGCCGAGGCCCTCGTGGGGCAGGTGGTGCTGCCCGGGGACCTACTGCTGCTCCCCGCGCACTACGACGAGGACGCGGAGGGCGAGCGGCTGCGGCTGAGCGCGGGCACCGCGCCGCAGGGGCGGCTGCTGTGCGGGCCGGGGCTGCGGCGCAGCGGGGCCGGGCTGCTGGTGACCAAGTGCGGGCTGCTGCGGCACCGGCCCGGGGGCGGCGGCGCCTACTGGGTGGACTCTCAGCAGAAGCGGGTAGGGCCGCGGCGGGACCCGGGGGTGTGTGTGTATGTGTGTTGGTCCCCGTCTCGCCCGCGCTCCCCTGACCCTCTGTCCCCCTCCTCCGCTGCAGTACGTGCCGGTGAAGGGCGACCACGTCATAGGGATCGTGACGGCCAAAGCAGGGGACGTGTTCCGGCTGGACGTGGGCGGCAGCGAGCCGGCGTCCCTGTCCTACCTGGCCTTCGAGGGCGCCACGAAGAGGAACAGGCCAAACGTGCAGGTGGGTGCCCTGGTTAGCTGCGGAAGCGCTTTAGCGGCGTCGTTTGGTGGCGCTTCTGTTGTGTTTCAGTAGCTTTTCTTAAGGGAAGTGTTTTCATAAGCCCACGTTAGAAGAGATGGGCAGATCTGGTTGTAATGGTTTCGCCTTGGTTCTCTCCGGGGGGTTTTGCACCCTTAGGCCGCGGCCTTTCTGGGGTTTCTTAGGAGGACTGTAACTAGCGTGGTTTGCTCTCTCTCAGCTGGCCGGGTGTTTCATTCTCATGTTTTCGTTTGCTCATAGTGCTGCCAGGAGCAAATGCAGTTCATGAGTAAGGGGTATCTGATAGGGCACTCCGATGTTAAGGTTTTAAAACATGTGATGCTAGTAAAAAATGCTAGTTGTGTGGGTTCTTTTAACAGCACTATTATGAACGGTTGTGCTGGACATGCATGCCACAGTTTCTGCACTCGGATGAAACACCATTACCAGAATGTAAAAGAAACTAAAGAAAAAAACAAATAGGCCAGTGTGGTAGTTTTTATTGTTGTCCTGCTAAATGATTATAGAAGATAAAATCTATATATATATATAATCTATATTTTTGTTCTTTGACGCTGTTTTGTTTAGGTGGGAGATCTTATTTATGGTCAGTTCGTTGTAGCAAATAAAGACATGGAACCAGAGATGGTCTGTATAGACAGCAGTGGAAAATCAAGTGGCATGGGAATAATTGGACAAGATGGCTTCCTCTTTAAAGTTTCTTTAGGCCTAATAAGAAAGTAAGTACTAAAAAATGTAAGTAATCACTCTCACGTGTAAGATTCCCACAGCTGTTTCTTCTGAGCAGTGTGGGCAGTTTGGTAAATCAGACTGTGTGATTCTTGTAGTGCATTGAAACCAGATTTACTGAATAGAGTACGGATTGATCTAGAAGGAAAGTTTATTTTTCCTCTTAAGAGACTTAGAAAATCTTTTGTATGGTGTTGCATCACCTGTTTAAAAAAAGTGATGTGGTTGCCAAGGCATTATGGAAAATAAAAGTAGTGACTTGGGGAAGTCAAACATTCAGGATAGTGTTTCAGGTATGTACATACTGCCTTGGAGTTTAAAACTTGGCAATGCTTACTGTCCTTCTTCTGTTTCATGGGGTAGTAGAGGTGTATGTTTGGCTGACAGCTGATTAAAGGGATTCTTTGCACATCAGTACACATTATTTTCTGACTTCCAAAGAAAAACAAATAACACTGAAATAAAGATACAGGTTTAAAAAGTGTAGGATTTTAGTTTAAAATTGACACGTTACTCTAGGAACTGTTTCATAAGCTTTTGAATGTATTGTGAACTTTGGAGTTGCTTATGCTCATGTAAATACAGGATTTTTTTGTGACTGTCAAATGGATAAACAATGGTCAAACTCTGTTGTTGCTTTTTGGGTGGAGTTGTTTATTTTGTCATTCTCTGGATAAGCAATTTGCAGTGTAGAGCAGCTTTTTCATACCTGGCATTGTCTGATTTATAGGTCCTATCAGAAGCCAGTTTGAACTGTCACAACAACTTTCTGCAGCCATTCTGTTTTCCAAATTTTGTCTGTATGCAAGTAAAAAAACAACAGCATATTACAAGTAAACTGCTAAGTCCTGATATGATGTTAGTTTCTGTGAATACTTGTTCAATCTTGGTTTAATCCTAGACATGTTGCAGTATTTAGTAGTCTGTTTATTGCTGTTAATACTGTTTCCTGAAGTAGAAGGGAAGTCCTGTTTTGAAAGACACTTTTGGGGTGTCAAATAGATAGCATTTCAAAAATGTCATTTGGTCAAACAGTGTACTTTTTAGAATTATTTAACTCATAGAATGGTTGTAAAAGTATCAATTCACTTGAAACTTGTCAGGGATTGCTTCTGAATCTAATGAGAAAAAGCCTAAATTTACAATGGCTTTATTTTTTTTAGGTGCATGTATTTTATATGACAGGGGGCCTTGAAAATCTGATACTGTACTGCTATTTTGGATGTATATGCAACTTTATAATCTTTCAGTGTTTCTTAAATAGATCCCATAATAGCAGTACTGCTGGAGTTACTGGTCAATAAAAATGTGGTGTCTGTAAGTGTGGGCATTCCTTCCTCTGACTTTTTTTTTTTGCTCTTGTTCACAGGCTCTTGGCTCCCAAATGTGAAATAATTCAAGAGCTGTCACAATTGTACCCATTTGAGCTGGTGCTGGGAATGAATGGAAGAATATGGGTAAAAGCAAAAACAGTTCAACAGACTTTAATTATAGTAAATATTTTGGAAGCCTGTGAGTATATGACTGCAGAACAGAGAAAACAAGCGCTTGCCAAACTGTCGGGGAACTGATAAGAAAAAACCTTGAAGATTTGTTTGCGATAACTGTAGGGTGTTTTGGTTATTTTTGTATTCAGATTTATATTAAAAGCCTTTTTTTAAATGAAGTACTAGATTTCAGTTGTTCTTCATTTCCCTTTTTTATCCACTCAGCTTGATTTAGTGTGGTTTAAGGAGTATGTTTCGACTCACCTTTGTAGTTATGAAACCCTGTTTATGTTCATGAATTTTCTGACTAATGGGAAAATGGTCTGTAGAAGCTTTCATTAGCTCTGAAGTGTAACTATCTAGGTCTTCTTTTAAAAACTGGTCATTTTGTGAGCTGCCTGTGTTTGTTTTTATAGTTATTAAAATTTCAAACCATCCATGTTTACTTGGGATAGCAAAAAGTATCCCATGGGTCATTATTTTGGTTGAGTGCTCTATTTATACAGTGACATGAAGTAATTATTTAATATATTATGAAATTTGGGACTAGAAATGCAGATAGGGAATACCAGAAAATAATTGCAGGGTGTAGCATAAAGCAATCACAGGGTGGTTAAGGTAAATGATCAGATAAGACCAAAAATATGTTCACAGGGACGTTGTCACTTTCCCTAAGTGATGACCTGCCTAGTAGTGTTAAGGACATAGTGATTAGGATGTCACAATAATAGCCATGTGTTTCTTGGTTCAAGACACTGTTTTCTTTAGTAATAGCATAAAGATGCCACAGAACTTTGCTAATATTTAACAAAATCAG